GGATAGGTTCTTAAAAGTAGAAATAACAAATCAAAAGTACAAGCATTTTAAGATTACTGCCAAACTGCTTCCAAAGAGGGTTATACAAATATATCAGTCAATGTACCAAGTGGGAGAATGCCTATTTGATAGAACCTTTGCCAGTTGATAGAATTATCTTCTAAAATCTCTACCAATTTCAAAGGTCAAAAATAAAATTTTGGGGCTGGGATTGTGGCTTAGCGCTTGTTTAGCACATGTGAGGCCCTGGGTTTGATCCTCAGCACCACATAAAAATAAATAAATAAACATAAAGATATTAAAAAATAATTACAGTATATCATTTAAAAAAAATAAAATAAAATTTTTTTTAGAGTCACCTGTAGGTGAGGGGCATAGTTCAGGCTGAGCTTGATTAGCATGTGTGAGGCTCTGGGTTCAATCCTCAGCACCACAAGAAAAAAAAAAAGTCATATATATTTCAATTTGCTTTTCTCTATTACTTTTCTATGAAGTTAAAAAATTTTTCAGGATTCTTTTCAGTTATTTTTATATTCCTTCTCTTGTGAATCTTCCCAATTGTTTTCTTTTTAATATAGTGAACTATTCCTCTGTTAATTTTATTCAGAAATCTGATTTGTAGAATTTGTAAATGAAATAGTTTTACTATATATACTGTTAGTAGGAATTATTAATAAACTCAAAAGGCCAGAGTAGTTCAGAGTTCCAGCTAAAATAGAACTCTTCAAATATTTTAACAGATTAGGAACGTTGTTTGTGATAGTCTCTATTTATAGTAGTCAACAATGGAAAACAAATGTTCAGCAAAAGGAAAGAGCTGGGACTCTAGGACAAATGTGCATGAGAAATGGAGCCACCATCTCAGGTAGAAGTAAGGCACAGTAAGGAGACTATTACTTTTCACTTGATATATTTAATTTCTTTTATTTTACTAAGTACTTGAACTACTTATTTTGGAAAAAAAAAACTAAATTTAAAGAAAATGAAAATACATGTCATCCAATGTCAAAAACATTATTCATACAAAATAAATGTTAAAAAGTAAAACGAAACTGTATGTACAATATTATGTAAAAATGTCTATGAATTCATTCAACCAAAATCTAGAGTCACATAATAAATTTTTTTTTAAAAAATTGTTCTTTTCGGGAGCTGGGATTATGGTTCAGGGGTAGAGGGCTTGACTAGCACATCCAAGACCCTGGGTTCGAACTTCAGCAACACATAAAAATAAACAAAATTAAGGTATTGTGTCCAACTACTTCTAAAAAATAAATTTTTAAATTTAAAAAAATTGCTCTATGGAATGAAAAACAATGTGACTTTTAAAGAGATTCATGTGAATTTATTTATATATTTTCCCCTCAAAAATAAAGCCTATCAAAAGGCAATTAAAAAAAAAAAACTTTTTTTAAATGGCACTCTTCACACTTTTGTGTAAGACTCCTATTATGTGTACTCTCAGAGGGCATATCTTCAGTTTATTTTATTTTTTTAAAATTATTTTTAATATCCTTTATTTTATTTATTTATGTTTTATGTGGTGCTGAGGATCGAACCCAGGGCCTCACACATGCTAGCGAGACTCTACCACTAAACCACAACCCCAGCCCCGCTTCAGTTTATTTTTGCACTCAGTTCTATGAAAGTGACATTTATGATGGGTGCAGTAGTGCATGCCTGTAATCCTAGCATATCAGGAGGCTGAGCCAGCCTCAGCAACTGAGTGAGTCCCTGAGCAACTCAGCAAGACCCTGTCTCAAAATTTAAAAATAAAAAGAGCTGGGGATGTGGCTCAGTAGTTAAGCACCCCTAGGCTCAACCCCTGGTACCAAAAAAAAAAAAAAAAAAATTAGAAGTGATATTTCCAAGGGGATGGGGCTGTGGCTCAGCAGTAGCACACTTGGCTGGCATGTGTAAGGCACTGGGTTTGATTCTCAACTCCGCATATAAATAAATAAAATAAAGATCTATCAACAACTAAAAAAAAAAATGTTGAAAATGAAATAAAAAAAAAAAAGAAGTGACATTTCCAATGCCAGTTATGATGGCATATACCCACTACCAGCTACTTTGGATGCTGAGGCAGGAGATAAAGGACAGCCTGGGCAACACAGTGAGACCTCTGTCTTTGAAAAAGGTGTATGGGGGGAAAGAAACTGGGGATGTAGTTCAGTTGGTAGAGTGCTTACCTAGCATGCACAAAGCCTTGGGTTCAACCCCAGCAACAATTTTGCCCACCAAAACAAACAAAAATCTAAAAATGACATTTCCAAAGGTAAATCCTCAGTACCTTCTGCCACACTGTGGCATATATTCCTATTTTTTAAAAATACTCTTTTTAGGTGAAGATGGACACAATACCTTTATTTTATTGATTTATTTTTATGTGGTGCTGAGGATAGAACCCAGTGCCTCACATATACTAAGCAAGCACTCTACCACTGAGCCACAACCCCAGCCTTATATTCTTATTTTAACAATGCCAAGCACCTTGACGAACAGTGTGTCTGACTTGACACTCTGGAGATGGGGAATACTCTGATAGCCAAGCAATTTCACTACTTCAGAGTTGTTTTTGAAATAATGACCATAACCTTAAGAATAAGATAATTCATATAATGTAATATCTAATCATTTTAAGTAACCTGATAAGTTACACTAAAGGACCTATAGAAAGACCACCCATAACCAATCCAGGAGAAATAATGTCTTATGAAGACGTAAGTCATTCTTAAGTAACATATTTAAGTAAAAGGTTCTATGTACAACTTTGACTCTATTTCCTGAGTTAGCAAACTAATTAGCAACAGTGAACAGAAATAAGAACTTCTACAATCTTCTTATAGGAGTATAAATTTAAGGATGAATTCCAAAAATCCTAAAGAAAGTACACATTTAGTAGCAAAATAATTCTATTTCTAGACTTTATTGTAAGAAAATAACTGAGAGTAGACATTAAAATTATTGTATGTTAGAAAGTTAATTGTAGTATTATGTAAATAGCTGAAAACTAGAAAATCATCTAAGTATTTCATGAATGAAAATGATTAAAGAATTTCTATTCATTTATCCACTGCAATGGAATAGCATGAAGACATTAAAATGACAGACTAGATATTTATTGATCATATACGGCAGACTATATTACTGGCCCCAATTTTCCGCCTCCCTCCCATGTACATTGTAGGCCTTTCTGCTGTGGACAAGATAGAAATCTTCCCTGGACTCGGCTTATGTTTTGCTAAATTGGATATTAGCTCGTGTGATACAACCAGAAACAAAAAGCACATGCCTGATTGGGCTTGCTCACTATTGTACCTCTGCCATCACTGCAAGAAGAACATGCTTAAGTTAGACGCCTGGTCCAGGAAGATGACAGAGATATGGAGCAGAGCCCAGTCTAGATTAGACAACAGCCAGTGACTGATGCACGAATGGGCTCCAATGACACTGGCCAATTGACTAGCAACATCCAACCTAGATCAGCTGATCCACAGCTGATTTATAGGTATGAGTTAAGTAAATACTTGTTGCTGTTTTAAGCCTTTGGTTTTTGAAGTGGTTTATTAAATAGAATTTTTGTGGCATAAGCTAACTGATAGAAAATTTATAAGTCTGGAAGAAAATGGGGTGCGGGGAGACAGAATTCTGGAAATATATCCCAAATTATGATAATGGAGGGACTTCCATTTAAAATGGTAGATTGATCACCTCTCTCCCCACCATTGAATGACAATAAAGGAATAAATGACAATAAATATTGTCATTGAATGACAATAAAGGAATAAAACTAGCAGTAAACCACAATGAACAGAAGAGATTATACCAAAAACATTTTAATACAGCAGTAGAAAATATAAAGCAGGGGAAAGAGAGAAAAAGAACTTAGTAATATGGAAGAAACTGCAGCACATTAAAATAAGGCCAATTTACTCCATATAATTTTTTTAATCTTTATTTATTTGTTTGCCTGTTTATTTATTTATTTATTTTTATGTGGTGTTAGAGATCGAACCCAGGGCCTCACACGTGCCAGGCAAGTACTCTACCACTGAGATGCAACTTCAGTCCCACCCCACTTAATTTCTAAGACATTCAGCACTTGAATGTATCAGGTATTATGAAAGGTGGGAAAAAAGTACACAGATGGAAATCAAGGCTGGGGAATGTAGCTCAGAGTGTGTGCTTAGCAGGATCAAGGCTGTGGGTTCAATCTGCACCACCAAAAATAAAACAAAAGGAAAAAAGGGGGGAAAATTATGCTTAATGTTTGGGCATTGAGTAGTAAAAATGATAGGTCTCATACTAAGGTGTGCAGCCAGGTGATTACTCTCACATATCTCACCACTCTTCATATTCCACCTGCCACAGTTACAGAGAAATTTAAAAAGTGAAGGTCTATGGGATACCACACACAGTACAGTAAAGGACTGAGAAGTATGAGCTGAAAAAAAAAAGCAAGATTACATGAAAGTGTACAGACTCAAATCAATCACCCTCCTTGTTTCTGCTCTCTTAGGTTCAGCAGCCAGTCACATGTACCTTCTACACTACCCCAACCCCAACTCTGCTACCCTCAGGCAGGAAACTTGAGGAAGTCTCTGAAAAAAATGGATAGTTTCAGAGAAAATAAAACCCATTGACAACAACTTTAAAGGATGCCTCCAACAATAAAACAACAAAGTCAACCCACTGCCTGACTCCATATAGTGAGAACGATCTAACAATCCCTGCCCAAGCACAGTCTCTAGTCAAAAAGTCACTACTTCACTCTTAAATATAAGCAGCCAAATCCCTGGGCATAAGAAAAAATCCTCCCATGAGAAAGAAAGAAAAACTATTCTCAAAAACTTAAAAAATACACTCAGATAATATATAATACTCAGAGAGATAAGAAGATATTATAATGATAAAGTAAATATAGGATGTTTCAAAGAAACAACTAGAGACCAAGAAAAACTTAAAAGTGTAATAAATAACATTAAAATTCAACAGAAGGGCTCAGCCTACTCCATTTCCCCTCAGCTGAGCCTAGAGTAGAGGGGCCAGGCACCCACCCTCATGGAAGAGATATCTGAGGAAGTAGCCTTGCCTGTGCTGGCCTAGCCTCACATTTACTTAGCCATGATAACCTGGCAGGAGAAGCTGGTGGAAAGGATGAATAACTGACTAATGGGAAAAAAATAATAATTCAGCAGAAGAACACACAGTGGTGCACGCCTGTAATCCCAGCAGCTCGGGAGGCTGAGGCAGGAGGATTGCAAGTTCAAAGCCAGCCTCAGCAAAAGCGAGGCACTAAACAACTCAGTGAGACCTTGTCTCTAAATAAAATACAAAATAGGGCTAAAGATGTGGCTTAGTGGTCGAGTGCCCCTGAGTTCAATTCCCAGTACCCACCCCCCAAAAATAAAAATTCAACAAAAGAGTAGAAAGATAAAAACAAGAAAATATTCCAGAAAAAAGAATGTGGAAAAAATTAATAAATTATGAATATTTGATCAAGCAACAAAGTCCAACATCCCACAGATGTTCAAAACAAAAAAGACAGAGAAAACAGAGTGGGAAGAATTTAAAAATAGCACAGGAAGTGAACGTGTACAGAAAGTGTACAGCTGGGGATATAGCTCATTTGGTAAAGTGCTTGCCTCACATGCACAAGGCCCTGGGTTCAATTCAAGGCACCACTAAAAAAAAAAAAAAAGGCACAGGAAGACTTTATAGAACTAAAAAACACTAGTTTCCATACTGAAAGGGCCAACCAAATACGCAGGCATAATGAAAGAAAACAGACCCACATTAAGATACAACATCTTCTTGGGGCTGGGGATGTGGCTCAAGCAGTAGTGCTCTTGCCTGGCATGTGTGTGTCCCGGGTTCAATCCTCAGCACCACATACAAAGAAAGATGTTGTGTCTGCTGAAAACTAAAAAAATAAATAAAAATTTTTTTAAAAAAGATACAATATCTTGAAATTTCAAAACACCATAGTTAAAAAGAATATTCTAAATCTTTCAGAAAGAAAAATTGGACCATATGTAATACCATCAAAATGCCCAATAGCAATCAAGATTCTAGAAGATAGTAAATCAATGTCTTCAAAATTCTAAAGGAAGGGATGGGATGTAGCATAGTGATACAGCACTTGCCTAGCATGTGTGAAGCCCTAGGTTAGATCCCTAGTACTAGATAGGGGTTAAAAAAAGGAAAAGAAGGGCTGGGGATGTGGCTCAAGCGGTAGCGCGCTCGCCTGGCATGCGTGGGGCCCGGGTTCGATCCTCAGCACCACATACCAACAAAGATGTTGTGTCCGCTGAGAACTAAAAAATAAATATTAAAAAAATTCTCTCTCTCTCTCTCTCCTCTCTCCTCTCTCACTCTCTCTTAAAAAAAAAAGAAAAGAAAAAAGAAATTAAACTTAAAAATTAAATTCTGAAGAAAAAGTTATTCCAGTCTAACATTCTTATCCTACCCAACTATTAATTTGGTGCTAAACTAGAAAAAATATATTTTTCAGATACAGAATGACTCCAAACATCTGTCTCATACACATTTTCTTAGACTACTACTGGATGCAAGTCAGCAAAACAGAGGAACAAAACAATAAAGGAAGGAGTGAACCCAGAAAAGAAGGATATAACACAGAATTATGAAGGGAAATTCCAGTATGAAAGCTTTGTACCCGAACTAGAGAATAACCAGGCCAGACTAGGAGGATATGTGAGAGAGGTCTCCAGAAAAATAATGAAACTGACAGACAGCTTGATGCATTTAAGTGTTCTAAAAAAACACTGCTAGGTACTTGACAGATTTAGAAGAAAAAAAACAATGATTGGTTAAAAAAAAAAAAAAAGCAAGAAACTGAACAAGAACTAAAAGACAATCATTAATCCTAGGTTAAAATAAAAGGTTGTATAACAAGGAGAAAGTAATCATAGCTGCTACTTTGCCCAATAGTGAAAAAAAAAACATAGATATATAATATCATAAAACACCAGTTACTAACTACAGATTTGTGTGTGTGTGTGTGTGTGTGTGTGTGTGTTCGCACGTGCACTGGGGATCAAACCCAGGGCCTTGTGCATGCTAAGCAGGCACTCAACCACTGAACTACACCTCTAGCAACTGGCTACTCATTTAATCAAAACTGTGATATAACTATAGTTGGAAAATCAGGCAAAAGAGAAGTAGGGATTTTGGTACAATAGAACTAATTATTTTCTATAACAGGAATGCAATAATGTCTAAAATTTAAAATACATGAAATAGCAATATAAGTTTTCATTCAGAAATATGAAAGTAAATATTATCAGAAAGCAGTTGCTTCAACAAGATGGGGGGTGAGGGATGAGAGGAGAATGATAGAAGACTACTATTTTCATTATACACCTTTTTTTTTTTTTTTTTTTTGGTGCTGGGGATCAAACCCAGGGCCTTTGTGCATGTAAGGCAAGCACTCTACCAACTGAGCTATACCCCTAGCCCACAACTTTAAAATTTTTTTTTAAACAACTATGTTTATAGCGTGCCTCTCAGGTAGATTTTTCAGGACATCTAAATTATTTTTTTCCTCTTGGTTTGTATAAATTTTCTATAATAATCTTCTACTAAATACGTAATTTTAAAAAATATTAAGTGTTGCTTTGCATAAATCAGGAACTGAGCTTTACATACTCTCCTTTAGGGCCTTACCTTTTATCGTGGTCAAAATGAAGAAAGCAATGAGGGTGTTGTTGATGGCGCAGGTAGACTTGGCAACACAAGACAAGATCGTGTAGGGATTTAAGAGATAGCTGGGGAAGAACACACATATTTAGCATTAGTAATCCTGGTCAATGGACCAGGGAGTCCTGGCTACCACAGCCAGGAAGTTTAAGAAGTGTACTAAAAGCACACTAAAAGGAAGGCAACTTCTTTGAAATGTGTTCTCACAAGTAAATAGAATCGAGTGGAGGTTAGGGGTCAATAAGCAAAAAGAAAATTATGCTATGTACAATGTGGAAAACAGTTATATTTAATCATTATAGAGATCCTATGAACAAGCAATAACATTACTCCCGTTTTGCAAATGAGGAAGTGAGATTCCGTGGTTATGTGTAACTTGTCCAAGGTTTTACAAGTTAGTATGTACATTCAAAATTAGGTCTCTCTGGCTTCAAAGCCCTTAGAAGCTAAAGTTCTTTCTACTACTTTCTTCTTAGTAGTCAAGCAGTTCCCACTGAGGCAGACTCCAAAGAGAGAATTAAGTACCCACTGAATTCAACAAGCCAGTTGCCATCTGATTTCATAGGACATCTTAACCTTCCACTGGGAGGGAGCCAAAACACTTATTCTTTTCCTGAGGTGGGAAGGAAAGGACTGTGGAAACTAATCCGAAATGCGTGTGAGTTAAGAAATTTTGTACAGTCATAATGCATTATTTGTATATATTTCTATCCTGCTTATACAAAGGATTTGCAGCAGCTAAATGAAAACAGATAACAAAAATAGTAGTAAAATAAAAATAGCCATGATCAAGACCAGAGGAAAAAAAATAAAAGGAGAAAACAAAGCAAGGAAAAGAAGACCAATGGTCTTCTAAAGCATTTTAATAATCAGCTTCAAATCTGGCTGATTTTCCTGGCAGACAAAGTAAAAGGGAGGCCAGTTACATAATTCTGATTATCAGACAGGAAGAAACATACCAGTGTCTTGGGGAGAGATTATAATTATTATTCACAAATAAAGACCTTAAATCCAATACCTCCCAGTACTGTAAGATTAGCAGTTCTAAAGCCAAAGGCCTAGAAATTGTTAGGGTTTTTTTTTGTTATTGTTGTTGTTTTTCCAGCAACTACAGATAGGCTTGTTACACAACCTTTAAACAAATGGCTGCTGCTATTATAAAACTACCCCCAGAAGACAAGAGTCTATAAGGACTCATAATGTTGCTAAATCTCTGGTTCTACTAAAGGAGTTCCCAACAATATTTCTAAAATATAGAGATGTGACCTGAAAACTCCAAAATTGTTCAGTGGGAGGAAAATCAAGTCATTTCTGAATAGCAGGTGATGTTCAAGAAGGAGCTATCAAGACACCTATATGAAACAGGAAATTCACACAGAGCAGAGGGTTGAGTAAAATCTCCTCATATGTTCCCTTCTAATTCTGAAGAGTTCTAAGGGCATGATTTTTCCATGAAGAAACTTGTCTGTTTTGTTTACTGTGTATTCCTAGAAACTAGCAATTATTGATATTCAATGACTATTAGTTGCCAGGTGTAGTGACACATAGTGCCACCACTGTGACTTGGGAGATTGAGGCAGAAAGATCACAAGTTCCAGGACAGCCTCAGCAACTTAGCAAGATCCTAACTCCAAATAACAAATTAAAAGGGCTGGGGATATAGCTCAGTGGTAAAGCACCCTTAAGTTTAATCACAAGTACCCAAAAAAAAGACAACTATTGGTTGACTGAATGATAATTCACATTTGCCTACTTCAGGAAAATAAGAATAGATGAAAGAATTAAACTTACTGGCAGCACTGAATACTCCTAGAAAATTCTTTCATAAAGCCTCTCAATAAGTTCCACTCTTCCACACTAGTAACACAACTGGGATGGATTTACCTGACATTTTAAAAAATTATTTATTTATTCTAATTTGTTATACATGATGGCAGAATGAATTAATTTCATATTACACATGTAGAGCACAAGGTTTACTTGACATTTTACTTCAGTTTTCTGAACTACAAATGGGGGACAAAATTATACATAGGAGCTGCTTGAAACAATAACCACATAAAGCCCAGAATTTTATTCAACTCATACATCACAATTAAAGAACTTTTTCCCCCACTTTAAGAAACACTGGTCACAAGTAAGCTGGAGCCCAGATCAGCACCACATCAGAAAGCATTTGTGAAGGGTTTGATTGTGTATGTCCCTGTGTGAGTCTTTGTCCCAACAAAGACAAAATGGCTCTGTCTCTTTTGCTGGCCAGAACCCCAGTTGAGCAATAGAACTAAAGCAAATACTTGATGACTAAGACTGCAAATCTCCAAAAATACAACAAACTACATGGGAAAGTCTCATCAGATTTTCCTCACATTCACTGGCACTGAGCCCTGATTTATCAGGGAATACTTACAACAGGGCCACTTTCAGAGGGATATAACGCATTTCCATAGGGGTTCGGATGAGTTCAGCCACATCTGGGGCATACTGGTCCAGTTCTAAGAGGAGTTTCTGCTTTTTAAACTAGGGGGGAAAAAAAAGACAAAACACATGAAACAAATGACTTCCCACTGCTTTTAGGATGAAGACAAGAAGTCCTTGCTGTGGCCTATAGGACACTGCCTGGTCTGGCCCCACTCTCCAGGCTAATTTCATACACATTCTCCCTACCTCCTAGCACCATGAACATGTCACCACTTCTCCTGCCCTTAAGTCTTTGCATTGGATCTCTTCTCTTTCCCTACATAACTCCCAAACAGCCTTTAGAAGCCAGTTAAATCATCAGTTCCTCAGAGAAAATTAAAAAAAAAAAAACAACAAAAAAAAACCCTATGGTACACATTCTTTCACAGCATTCTTCAAAGTTATAACTATTTCATTTATTTATGTAACGGACTAATGCTGGCTCCCTCCCTAGAGTATGAGTTCCATAAGGGTAGGGACCATGTTATTTTCTCACCATATATGCCTACGAGCTGGCACAGGGGGAGAACAATAAAGATCTGTTGAATGGCTGAATGAATGAATGAATGGAAAACCAGTTTTTAGCCATTTTGAAGAGTTATCATCAGTGGTGTAAAAACTCAAAAAAAATTTTATCAGCAAAGCAGTTATGTTTAAGCCAAGTGGAATGATCCCAAATGTCTCAGTATCTTATGTTTTCTTCCTCATTCTCCTATTTCTTTTTTTTTTTTTTTACTTCCATAGAGGAGGTGTGAAAAGGTCACAATGAAGAGAAAGAGGAGAGCTGGATGTGGCTGGGCAGCTAGTGAGTTAAGATGGGATGGGGGTGGAAAGCTCTTGCCTTCCTGACATGTCACAACAAGTTCATGGGTGTGTTCCAGAATGAAAAAACAACAGGCAACCTTATAAGTAAACACAGGTCAGAATATAGATTTAAAAAATCTCTGAACCACAGATGGGTAGCCCTGATGATTGATCAGAGAATCATTAAACAGTAAAACTAATGCTGTAACCTATTAAGAGTATTTCAGAAGAGCAAGCACTTAACTATCTGTGTGAGAATGGTTAAAGATTTAATGATGAAATAAGCATATCACAATAGACTATATAGTACATAGTACCAATTACATAAAGTTAAAACCATGCAAAATAAAACCATACATTATTCAGGGATGTTTACAAAAGTTGTAAAAGTTAAGGCTGTGTGCAGGAATGACAACCACAAGGTTGTCAATGATTACTGGGCATGCTATGTCAAAGTGGAAAATAAGAAGATGAAGATAGGAAAGGTAACTAACTGCAGGCATAATTTTTCTTCAAGCTGAAAACAGGTTCACAAGTATGTGTCAGAACATGTGTGTGTGTGTGTGTGTGTGAGACATATATATTATATATATTAGTTATACATGTGCACAATATCTTTATTTTGTATATTTATTTTTATGCAGTGCTGAGGATCAAACCCAGTGCCCTCACATGTAAGGGGCAAGCACTCTGCCCCTGAGCCACAACTCCAGCCCCATGTGTCAGAATTTTTTAAAAATCTTCTAAAAATTTAGAATATTTCAATTCCAAAGAAAATCAAGAGAATATCTCAGGAATACAGGTAGCCCCATATTTCTTGCCCAGGTTTAGGTAAAGGCTTAGTTGGAAAACCTGCAAAAAAAATCCCTTTGATCATCTCCCTATTCTCACTATGGCAAGAGTTCAAGTTAAATAGTGGGAATAATCATCAATAATATTTATGGTGCCATGCACAGCTGGGGTTGTTTAATTAAAAGGACAAAATTTAAACTAATATGCTTTTATCAGAGAAGGGGGTTGGCTCAGCAATCCAAGCACTTAGTGAGGACAGCTGCAAAAGTGTAGAAGAAAGGAGGCCCACTAAGAGCTCTAGCATTCTGCTGCAAGAAGACAACATGGAGAGGATGAGATCAACAAAAGCAACTACTAGGAAGGAACAGGAACAGGAGTTCATTTAGGGGCAGACAGAGAGGCAAGTGGGACTGCAGACCCATTCCCAGGTTGGAAGCCAGTCAGCATGGCTGCACTGAGAGATGGAGGTTACCAAGAATGTGTAGATCCTTGGGCAACGGGGATGGTGGGCCAGCAGGACTGACTTGTAAATGCAATCTTCTCAAGGACAGTACTTTAAAGCAGAAAAATCTTCTGAAATGTGAGTCTCCAGGAGGGGTGAATAGTTCCTATGTTGTCTACTCCCTCTTTACTTTCTTCCTCAGTCTCATAACCACGGTCACCATTATAGCTGGCCTCAGAGGTCCAATTATCAGACTCCCAAGCATAGGCAAAACACCTTTTTTAAAAATCTCCATTGCATTCAGCTGGAGAAAGGAAAGTGGCTAGAATCTAAGGAAATTTATAATTATACACACATATATGCACATATAACCCTAAGAAAATCAGAAATATAAAAATAAATGAGGGAGTACAATTTAAAATCTAAAGACAAATATTTCTATAACAATTCAGCAGAGTTGACAATGATGAGACTGAAAACAATTATAGGGGCTGGGGTTACGGCTCAGCAAGAGGCCCTGGGTTTGATCCTCAGCACCACACAAAAAATATATAGATAATGGAAAGCTGCATACAAACTGATTAATGACCACAAAGGTAACACACCTAGGTCACTACCCTGCAGATTACTTTTAATCTCTCCTGTAATTATAGTTGGACATAATACCTTTGTTTGTTTATTTGTTTGTTTGCCGCAGAATGAAGGAAAAAAATCTAAACTTTAATTCAGTCTTGATGACAGTAGTACATCTTTGTGCATCAAAATACACATACTGACAATTACTCATTTGCTTTTCTTTCTTTTAAATTATGGAAAGAAAACTCTAGGTCTCTACATAAGCTGAGATACAACAAAGTAATTAAAATTGGCACTCTAAAATGAAAGGTTCTCAACCTGAAGTCAGGTTGTTAGGAACTAACTGAAACATACTTTATTTTTCTCCATAAAGCTCTCCCTGCCCCATTAAAACTGTTTTGAAGGCTGGAGGTATAGCTCACAGTGGTAGAATGCTTGCCTAGTATGTATAAGTCTTTGGGTTCTATTCCCAACTCCACAAAATACACAAACGCACACACCAAGCCCTATTTTAATTGGAATAGATAGTATTCTTATGATAGTTGAACAGGGGAGAAAAACAAGGAATAAACATATGACACTACCATCTCTAATCAAGTTTCATTAAAACACATTTCAGTTTTACATTTGGTTGAAAAGATTTGGCTGGGTGCATGGCATACACCTATAATCCAAGTGGATCAGGAGGATGAGGCAGGAGGATCATAAGTTACAAGCCAGCCTCAGCAATTTACTAAGGCCCTAAGCAACTTGGTGAGTTCCTGTCCTGTCTCCAAAAACAAGGGAGGGTGGGGTACAGGCTGGGGATGTGGCTCAGTAGTTAAGCGCCCTGGGTTCAATCCCTAGTAACAACAACAACAACAACGAACAATCTGGATGATTGTACTTTTAAATGAAAGCTATCACTGAGTATGGTGGTGCATGACTGTAACCCCCATGACTCCAGAAGCTAAGGCAGGATGATTGCAAGTTCAAGGCCAGCCTCAGCAACTTAGCAAGGTCCTATCTCAAAATAAAAAGTTGAAAAAGAGCTGGGGATGTAGCTCAGTGGAAAAACTCCCCTGAGTTTAAACCCCAGTATCAAATAATAAACATACCTAGATCTACCAGTTGTTTAACATTTTACCATATTTCTTTTATCTCTACACATACCCACAGGCATAATTTTTTTTCTTATCAAACCATCTGAAAAAAAGCTACAGATAACATGCCACTTGACTTTAGCATATTTTTAACCTCAAATAAAGACTGGAGTGTACATATATAACCTATCTTGGAGAAAAAAAATTAGCCAGTGCTAATTTATCTCTGAATTTCTCAGCTTATGAACTTCATGCCCAGCTATTTCATCTGTAACCCTCAAGAGAAAACTGTTAGCACATTTCAGCTCAGCCTATAGAATTTTTAAGTTATGCTCTATTAGCCTTAGTGATACTAAGTCTCTAAAATGTAGTTCTTAATCCTTTAGCAGAAGTCAAAAACTCTGAGCAACAATTAACTACCACAGACTCTTGGAAAAGATCAGACATGCACATATACATACAATTTTTCATACTATTTCAAGCATTTTATAGGCCTATTAAGCCTATAAATGGACTCCAAATTAAAAACCCTCAGTCTAGATATTTTAAAAATCTGAGGTCTAAAATTCTAGAATTTATCAGCTTCCTGTGTTACTGATGACCATTGCCACAGAAAGGCAAATTGCTATTTCTGGTTCTACTACTTGTTAACAAAAGTGAAAATGAACCACAAGCAGGCAATGCCAATGAAATGCAGCCTTATCTCACCCCAGCCTAAATCCTCTCAGTGGCTCCCAGCCAATCAAGAAAGGCTATAGCCAACTTTTTTAAAATATATAATTACATGGATAGTATACATGATTAACCTGTTAACTCTCTCAGAACCCAGGAAAAAGGAAAATGTCTCTACTATACAATTCCCCTGGCTATTAAATAAGGATTAAAACTAAAGTTTACATCAATACTTTTAATAGGGGCTGGGATTGTGGCTCAGCTTTAGAGCACTCAACGGGCATGGGTGGGACCCGGGTCCAATCCTCAGCACCACATAAAAATAAAGGCATTGTATTATGTCCATCTACACCTAAAAAAATAAATATTAAAAAAAAAATACTTTTAAGAGGCACTTAATACATGCTAAATTTTCTGATTAAGATTACTCTTTGGGGCTTGGTATGACACATACCTATAATCCCAGTGGCTCAGGAGGCTGAGGCAGGAGGATGGCAAGTTTGCAACCAGCCTCAGCAAGTAAGCAAGACCCTAAGCAATTTAGTGAGACCCTGTCTCAAAATTTTTAAAAAAGGGCTTGGGATGCAGCTCAGTGGTTAAGCACCCTTGGGTTCAATCTCCAGTACAAAAAAGTCTACTTTTGGGGGGCTGGTAGTATTATTCAGTGGTAAAGCACTTGCCTAGCATGCTCAAGGCCCCAGGTTCTATTCTCAGCACCACAAAAAATAAAATAGCATCCAAGAATCCAATTTTACCTCAGTAGTCCTAACAGTGAGTTAAAAGCAGAATTCACTTTCCTTTGAAAAGAAAAACTGGTGAAAAAGAATGGAAGATTTTTTTAGGGGTCTCACTAATATAACTGTCATGCAAAACTCTGTTCTAAAAAATCTCAATTTGCACAGGTGTGTGGATAATAACAAGCTACATAGATTAAGACTGAACTTTCTGGATGTATTAGTAAAACACTTTCATAGATTTGGGTTTGTCGTTCCAAGTACAGCTGAACCAACCAGAAGCTTCAATTCCACTTCTTAGCTTATAAAGCAGCTAAATGCTTAAGTATAGGACCTTTGATTCTTTGTAATAAAAAAGACCAGAAGGTTACCAAATTCCACCAGTTTTTCCCATCTGTTAATTACTTACCACAACTTTATTGAAGTCCTGGATTGCAAAATACAGGGCAACAGCAGTGAGTGCATCAGTTATCTGTCAAGAAAGAAGAATAAAAGGAAATATAAAACTCAGTTATGCAGAGATACTGTAATACTGCCAGGCCCTAGAGTTCTGGTGGATCAGTCAGGTAGAATGTCAACCCTCATTCTGATTACTAAAAGGTGAGACACAGTCAGGGAGATTTAACTGGAAAACCCTGAAGATTAGAACCCATCTAGGCCCACTTAAGTCTTGTGAATCACTGTGTCTGCTCTAAAAGTACAAGTTACTTAAGTTTTCTACAAAACTGGACCAATACTCACTGATTTGCAAGCCTCATGTATGTAAGTGCCTAGCACATAATAAAAGTCCTCAATAAATAGGAACCAATATAATTATTAAAGAAGACCTCAGTAGGGCTGGGGATTTAGCTCAGTTGATAGATTACTTGGCTGACATGCAGAAGGCCATGGGTTCAATCCCCAGCACCGCAAAAAAAAAAAAAAAAAAAAAAAGACCTCAGTAGACTTCCTATGTATTATTTCCTTTTTTTTTTTTTTTTTTTCCTTAGTACTGGGAATCAAACCCAGGGCCTCACCCATGCCAGGCTTGCTCTACCACTGAAACACACCCCCCAGCTCCAGAGGAATTTGTTGACCCAGATTTTTCAACCCTAAACTAGACAAATGTTTCAAACTGCTATGCTCTCAAAACATAGTCCTGGGCCAGGGTTGTAGCTCAGTGGTAGAGCATTTGCCTAGTACATGTGAGGCACTGGGTTTGATTCTTAGCACCACATAAATAATAAATACATAAAATAAAGGTATTATGTCCATCTACAACTAAAAAATATTTAAAAACAAAAAACAATCACAGTCCTGTCATTTCAGTATTCAAGATTCTTGCCTCCTAAAAGTCCCATCAAGGCCTATATCCTCTTCACAGAATCTCTTGGCAGAACAGTTAGGACACTTAGGATTTCCCCCATACTGGAACAATTAAAGCCAATCACAGAATCTTGGAGCTAGAAAATTCAAGGCTGCATAATCTAGAAACCAAGCTCTAAAGAAGAATAAGGAATTGGAGCAAGTCAGAAGTCAGAGATTGCTTCTCACACTTCCATAATTCTGCCACAGTTCAATGATTTCAAATTAAAAATATAAAATTTTATTTTTATTTCTGAGAAACTCACAAGCTTTAAGGCAGATTTTTTTCTTAAAAATAACAAACTGTGCCAGGCATGGTGGCACATGCCTGTAATCCCAGCAGGAAGATCACAAATTCTAAGCCAGTCTAAACAAAAGCAGATGCACTAAGCAAGTCAGTGAGACCCCGTCTCTAAATAAAATACAAAATAGGGCTGGGAATATGGCTCAGTGGTCAAGTGCCCCTGGTTCAATCCCCGGTATCAAAACAAAAACAGATTGCAAAATTAGAAAAATGATTGACAGACTTTATCTGAAAGACTACTTACCATAAATACCAATTCAGCATAGTCAATTAGGAAATGAAAGAGGTATATTATTAATGGAGTCTGCAGGAGAAAAACAAACATACAAATAAAAAATTAAGTTAAATCTCACTATGAAATAACAGTTTCCTAAGTTGGGGGGAAAACTTCTTCAGCAAAATTCTGTTTATCTGTTTCCTTCTTGGAATATTGTACTATTCTAATTGGCTGATATACATATAAGAGCAAATAATTTAGTACCCTGTACCTTTCGTACCACTGGAACTATTTTTTGACTTCAAAAGAGAATAAAAAATTTTGATGTGTTAAATATCTGTTTAGCTTGGCATGATGGTATGCAACTATAGTCCCAAGTACACAGAAACTGAGTCAGGAGGACTGCCTGGCACAGGGCTTCAAGGCCAGCCTGGGCAATGTAATGTAATCCTGTCTCAAAAAATAAATAAGTATGTAATATCTGTTTAGAAACTGATAACACACTACAGTTATCATGAAAATCATCTTCTAAGACACATCTAACAGCCAAGGGGAACTCTAGAGGAACAAGATTACTAAACTTACAAAATTAATTGGGAAATCTTTTCCTCCTTCTATTCTCTGAGAAGTTCGTGTTAAAATCTTATTTCCTCCATAAAAATTGAGAAAAAAATCCACTCATTTTTGCCCAAGTGTTCTTTAAGAAATTTAAGTTACAGATTTAATTTCCTTCACAGATAAAACAATATTCCAATTTACTGTGTCAGTATAAATTGTGTTTTTCTAAGGATCTGTCCATTTCATCTAAATTTTCATCTCATTGACATAAAGTTGTTCATAATATTTTAGTTTTTATTATTTAAGGCAATAAATTTTCTTCTGATTATGGCTTTAGCTGTATCACACAAGGTTTTTTTTATTATTTTTTGTAGATGTAGATGAACAGGATGCTTTTATTTTATTTATTTTTATGTGGTACTAAGGATCAAATCTAGTGCCTCACACATGCCAGGCAAGCACTCTGCTACTGAGCTATATAGCCTCAGTCCACAAGTTTTGATAGGCTGTTTGCTTTTCAATATTATTCAGTTGAAAATATAATCTAATTTCCACTGACATTTCTTCTTTGAGACTACTTTAAAATGTATAGACTGGAGATGCAGGCCAGTTGTAGAGCACATGCTTAGCATGTGTGACACCCTGGGTTCAATTTCCAGCACACACACACAAAAAAAGTACAATGTTCAATTTCCAAATATTTGGAAGCTTCCTTCACATAAATATATGTGTGTGTGCATGTGTGTGTGCATGGGTGAATTTGTGTGTGTGTGTGTGTGTGTGTGTGTGTGTTAGGCAACTGAACCCAAGGCCTGGTCTAAGGTGATGGAGGATGGCTTTTGGAGGCATTAAAGCCTAAGCTAATATCTGAATAGTAGAGCCAACTCCCCAAAAAGGGAAGAGTGGCCCTTTATAGAGAGACAACAGCATGAACAAAGACCATTAGGTAACAGAGAATATGATACAGTATCATATTCTGTAACATATATATGTTAGAATTATCTCAGGGAGGTCAGGCCCAGTGGTGCATGCCTGTAATTCTAAAACAGGGCTGGAGATGTGGCTCAGTGGTTAAATGCTCCAGGTTCAATACCTGGTATCAGAAGAAAAAAGAAAAAAAAAAAATGATTGATAAAGAATAAAATAGGGAGGCTGGCGTTGTGGCTCAGCGGTAGAGCACTCGCCTAGCGCTCACCTAGGCTCGATCCTCAGCACCACATTAAAATAAAGGTATTGTGTCCAACTACAACTAAACAATAAATATTTTTTTATTTTTTATTTAAAAAAAAAAAGAATAGAATTGGGGCTGGAGTGTGGCTCAGTGGTGCAGTGCTTGCCTAGCATGTGTGAGGCACCGGGTTCGATCCTCAGCACCACATAA